CCATGTGTAACAAATGGCTTGATTATAATGAGTGCCAACTTGGCATTATGAGCTGTCTGAATTTGAGCCAGAAGTCTTAATTTGCTGCCTAGAGTACATCCCAGCAATTCCATTTAATATACATTACAAACCATTATAATATAACATGCGGAAATTCTGAATGCTGATTGGCTAAGAGCCGTGTTGACATAACTGAATGTCAACACGGAAAAATTTCCCACCGCTCTTTAAATTTATTTTAATGTTGTACAGTATATTTCATTGTGCTATATTATAAAGCAAATATAAAACTTCTTTCCGTGTTGATATACAGTTATATCAACACAAGTGGAAATTGGGAAAACGAGAAATTGTGTGGAAACACGACGCCCAAAGGGTAAAACAAGTTTTTACTGTATATATCTAACAAAAATTTCAATCCCTTAAAGGAGAATGCTAGCTTGTATCTGGATATTAGAACATACCTATATAAGGGTGGGTATATACATGTACATGGGAATAGAGTAAATATCCAATGTGTTTTCTTTTATGTGGTCATTTGAATAGCAAAATCATTGCAAACATAATACATTCATAAGGTTTGTCTCCAGTATGTGTTCTTTTATGTCAACAAAGTTGTGTTGACTAAGCTCAGGTCAATTTGTTATACAGTATATTGATTTATGTATGTTTATCTTGTAGCAATTGTCACAGGTTGATAACATACAAATGATATAATATACATATAGTAATACTAATTGCACTGTATTAACATACAGTTATTAGTAATACCAATCTTGACAATGAATGTGATTTGCTTTATATTCCTGGCTAATTTAAAACACGTTTCTGATATCACAAGCAAAAAATAGCCATAAAATTCCACTTCCTAAATATACTTTATACCTGGAATTGTTCAAACTTTCACTTTGTCCATCTGGTTTTTCACTAAAACCATTCAAATGGAACACATTAATGTCAAATGTGGTTGATTTGTTGATCAATAACGAGGTTAAAAATTCGATTATTTATATCTTAAAATACGCGCAGTATGAGGCACATTAAATTAAAAAAAAACATTTTCAACGCTTGATTTCAATATAAATATTGCATCCTGTCCACCTCTCCAACCTTGACTAGTTGTTTTCTTCATTAAAATATTGACTAATAGTATTGTATATACTTTATAGCTCAAACTGAGGGACACTTTCAGAATTTTAGTGCTAATATAATTTTTAAAAACGTTGTTTTCGAAAACGGATACCACAAAACATCACATAACATAATCCAGCATAAAACTATACATTCAAAAATCAGGCACACGATGAGAAAATCATACCTGGCTTTTTCCATGTTCGTTTCCGGTCTTTCCGTTTTGTTTTAGCTGTTAAAAAAACTTGAATCACTTTCAAAACGAGTAAAATCTATCTTAAACATTTTGCTTGAACAAAACACAGTTTAAACAAAGAAAAATAAAAAATATAGAGCAAAATTTACTTACGTACTAGAGACTACGTGAAAAACCTGGAAAACTGTCGTAGCGAGCGGGAACACAACGAACAACGTAATTATGCTTGGTCTTGAGCATGCGCAAAGCACCTCTACCCAGTTCTCTCTCGTCCTCATTCGTTGTTCGTTGTCCGTAGTCGCCAATCTTAAAGTCCCTAATAATTACTCCACAGACAACTTATTGTCGATTTTCGCGGCCCATGTTTGCCCACCGCCACTGTCAATTTGGGTGATCGCGCTGGTCTCGTTGACAGCCTTCCATTTAATTGATTTGTGGGAGAATTGTCGCGTTATGTTATCTGTGTGGACACAAAATCATGAAAATGAACTAAAACAAAGACCGACTTTATTTTCATGGGATGTTTACTTGTTGACTTGTTTTCCATGGGATATTATTTATCCCCGAGCCGACGGCGCGAAGCCATAGATTAAGTAAGAACTTAAGATACTTCATCTGTGGCGAAGCGCCGTGCGAGGGTACTAATTCCCCCCGGCTATTTACACCCGGGGAAACGAAAGCATTAGCGAAGTCTAAAGTTCATCAAATATCGCGGGCGTGGGTCACTGTCACTGAGCTGTATAATAACTGGAGGACCTGCATCTATCTCTCGTCAGTCAAAAAAGTGTCGCCAAAAACATGGCGGATTTTGACGCCATATGACGCCATTTCCATGGCAACTGGTCCGAAAACTTCATGGTAGTTACCACTGACCAGGCTTAATTCTGAGCCCACGGCAGTTTTAACACCCCCCTGGTTTTTTGCAAAAGATTTGGTTTTTGCAGATAAATATTTATAGTTCTCGTTGTTTTAAATCTTTTGTATAAATTTTGAGATATATTTACTACCTTTGACCATTTGGTTAAAGGTATGCAAGTCGTACGTGTTATTCTCGCCCGCGAAAGCCAAACAAAACCTCGAGAAATGTGGGAAAAGAGTATTAAAGACGATACTTGAGTCGGGTAAAAGGTAGGAAATGTCTAGTCAATTTTACTCATTCTTTATCTTATTTGACATGAAATTGATAAGCCTAACGATGAAATACACTTCATTTGTTAAGAAAACAAGCTTTCAGCTTTCTACAGTCCAAATTTCATATTGTAAGGTGTAAATTTTCCCATTATTTTAATTAACAAGCTGTATTCACAAATACTTAATAGTTCTATGTAAACAACACAGATTTGATATTCACAAATTTGTACGATATATACTGTCTAAACTCACTAAAGTGCAAACTATCTTGTGTAATAATGTTAAAAAGGTTGACTGCAGAGACCTGAGGTCTCGTTTTATTACTTTTATAAACATACTTGATACAATTAAATTTAAATTAGCAATTTATTTTAAATTAGCTTGCGTAAGATGAACGTTTAAAAGTTGTACACGTCAAATGTAAGAACAATTTGTTAGCCTGAGGACGGATAGTAAACTATCCGAAACGTAGCTAAAATAAAAGTATTATCAAAAACCTCTTGTGTGATCCTTGATTTAAATTAAAAACACAAAATTATTTAATATGAACAGAGGTGAAAGTTTCAGAAAAGCAATTCAGAAAAGCAATACTTGATACACTTGATGAAACTATGTGTTTGTAGGGTTTGTGTTTAATATGCACCAACTTTTGTATAATTATTAAAGTTACTGGGGTACTGGAAGCTAGCTTATCCAGGAAGGTAGTTTCTGTCTACCTATAAAATACTGATTGGGGACACTTTTTGTGTCATTATACACCTGATTATAAACTCCTTAAGCTTTAAGCACCAGTGCTCTCCCCTCAACAAGTAAAATTGTTTGTTTATCAATTTATATAAAATAGGGTGCACTAGTCTAAGGTACAATGCAACTTTTAAAACAGCTTAATGAAAGCATTCCTAAGCAACATTGTATGTAGACTGCGAGCAATCCCTAAATCTTAGTCCGGGAAACAATAAAACGAAGGAAAATAGAGGGATTGCTCGCAGTCTACATTGTATGCAGACCTTTAAGATAGGAATAAACCTGCAGCCATCAGTGATTCTGATGCAGTGTTCAAACCAATTTATACTGATCAGCTACTGTGTCGAGCTGTAATTGCAAATTAATTCATGTACAGTAAATATCATAAGGTGAAGCCTGTAGTAAGGTGTAAGGGTAAATGTCAGGATTTTGGACATCGCACTCAACAGATTGTTAAATATCAAAGGTAGCGTCACTAGACGAATATTTTAAGTGTCAATTTTATGCATATTTAGACCTAACCAACCTAAAAAATATAGTTGCATCTTTTGCAGCTGCTTTAACCAGGTCTAAAAAAATATGTACAAAATTTACACTCAAAATTTTCATCGATCTACAAAAATCCTTCAACATTCAGTGATGTACATCAGCATTGCCATGTAAAACCCTTTTCTCACCAAACATGCACTTACTGCATGTAATAGTTGGTGCATGGTCAACATAGGAATATTTGCACAAGAATAGACATTACCTCTCAATTCTATATTTTTCTCATACAGAATACATGGTCTGCTTCATTAAATTAATATGTAGTTTTTAGATAATAATTAAACTGCTTTATATTTTTTTAGACCAAGAAGTGTTCTCTTAAATTAAGGGAGAGGTATTGTCAGTGGCAAATTGAGGAATCTGATGCATTATTTGGTGGAATATTGCATGTGCATGGTCATGAAATTATTACTTCAATGCTGCAATCCTCAAGGTCTGAAAATTGGAGGTTTTGTACCAACCTCTGCTAATCAGCAGGGATCGTTCAAAAGATGTGCTTAAATTAAGTAACACTTGTCTACTAGTTTTGTGAAGAAAATGAAACACTCTTGATGACATATACTAGATTTGTTGAAATAGTTGAACTGAGGCAATGATAGCAATTCAGGCATTTTTGGGGAACATTTTTAAAAATGTACTTGTTTTTAAAGAGTAAATTTATATTTGACCCATAATTTTCTCAGAACCAATCCAATATTTATCATTACATTAAACATATTTTCAGAGGTCAAGTATTACTAACAGTGATTTGAGCTCTAGGTGTGGAAATAGAAATCACAAAATGTTAATAATAAATGAAAATTTTAATAAATTTTATATATTTACATAATTTACATAATACGTACTGTACTGTAATTTAGTATTTATGACAACAAGTATTTATAATCATTCAAAATTGTATTGACAGAATTTAATTACATTAATAAGGGGGCATTCATTATTGATGTGGGGGGGATGGGTGAGAAACTGGGGGGGACCTGAGATTTTCCCAGATGAAAAGGGGGACTGCAATTCTGGTATTAAAACCAAATCCTGGGGGTACCTGACATTGAAGGAAGACACATCTACACATTTCAAAATTCATGGTGAGGGTAAAAACAAAAAGAAATCAGATTTACATAAACTTCATCTTAATATATTTATGAAGTTATCAAATACATCATTTCTGAAGTTATTCAAAACACTCACAGTACATGTTTCATCACATCTATTAAAACACTTGGGTATCACCTCGTGTTATATTAATCTGATAAAAGGTTGCTGTTGGTACTTTGAATATATTTTAATACAAATATAATAACTAACTTTCTTTTCTGCTCTCTCAGTCCCTGCTATACAATTGTACAAACATGGACATACTACATTTAGACACAAAGATGTACATTTAGATTTAATGTACTGTAGTGTTAAAAAATTAAATGTGACTGTGTGTAGTACTCTTTATTGTCAATAAAAAAGAGTTGTGCCATAACTTCAATTTGTTCTTCTCCATTTTGGCATCCTGTGCCATCACTTCCGGTACCTGTATTAATTAAACAGATCATTATTATACCACAATCATGTTATTACACATCTTTAGTAATTAACAAAAATATAATATGTATTGCATATATGTTAACCCTTTAAGTGGCAATGCACCCTAATGTACTTTAGGGGAGAGCACTGCCACTCAGTGGGTTAATCAGACAATCTTCTGCATGGTTATGCATAACTATTTTACTAATTGTCACTTGGAGCTAGTGCTCATATGCCACTCAATGGAATATAAATCAAACTATCTGCATACCCAATGTGCCCAACTTTAGTTAATCTTACTCTGTCAAACACCAGATTATTTTACACGATCTGTCTAATGCCAGACAATTTTACTTGTCAAGGGGACAGCACTGCATGGTGCTCCATGGGTTAAGGCAAAAAAGTTTAAAGAACTACTATATCCAACAACATAAAGTACATGGTCATATGGATCTGGCAACCTCAATCCCCCCCCCCCAATAAGTGGCCACCACTGCCGCACAACCCCATATATAAACACTGCTACAAAAAGCCTGGTAAAAGTAGGACTTGCTTGTCCAAGCTCAATGAGACTTGTTCAATGTGGGGGAATGCAATGCAGCCTTGTTCACAGGACATGAAGTCTGTGCAGTTTCTGGACTATCACTTGTTGCTAAACCTACTGAGAGAGATTGTTAAATCTAACTCAAAAGAAAGTTTCAGTTATACCATATCTTATCTCTAAAACACATCATAGGCAAGCAATCATGCTTATCCAACTTTTGCTAACTGCTTTGAACACTCCCAGGTCCTGGGTATTTTTTCCCTCTGTCCCACGCTCTCTGTCTTTGTGCTTGTCTATATATTAATCCTGATTCACATCATATATAATCTGTACGATCGTGTGAGCATGTGAACAACCACAATTATTATAAATTATTAAAAACTGGCAATAAAAAACACAAAACAACATAATTTCATGTCCACAATTTTCAACGATTATAAACAGGATTTATATGTCCGTATCCCGGTTCATGTGTCTGCTATTGAAATATTTGCTGTATATATATAGTAGCACGAGTTTTTTACTTATATTATAGTCATTTGACTCATTTTCGAGAGTCATTTTATATCTAGCAAGGTTCTACAAAGTAAAAATAGTTTCACGAATCTAATTACCTTGAAAAAATAGTTAATCTTTCTTGATAGTGAATTGTTGCATCAACAAACGAAACAAAACGGCACTTTTCCTCCACGTAGTAAAACAAGTAAAGTGCGAGGGAAAGATTTTCTAGCTCAAAAACAACCGAAAACCTCTAAATTCTGAAATAGTGAAATATTTGTGTAAAAACAGGGGGGTGCAGGACTTTGTTTAGTGCTTCGGATCGCGGTTGGTCAGTGGCAATTACCATGGAGACTTCGGACCAGTTGTCATGGAAATGGCGTAAGCGCCGCCATGTTTTTGGCGACACTCTTTCATGCCGAGCAGGTCCTCCAGTAATATAGTATAGCTCAGTGGTTTCGGTGGGTGGTCATCCTCACTGATCTCATAATATAGCGGACTGTAATGAATAGCATGCAACACTGATTGGTCCAATTTAAAATTGGCATTATAACGGCTGCATGACGATTGACGACAGCGAAATTGATTTGATGATTTCTTGCAAATATATTTCATTTGTGCAAGATTTTGCAAATTGCAAAGGATTTTTGATATGAAATAAAGGCAAGAGAATTGCTAAAAGAAGGAAGTAAAGGTGCCGACGTTAACGAAGGTCAGTTTGTTTTAAATATTGATGCATTGTTTGCTTTTAATATACTGTAATCTCGGCTGTAATTACTTTAAAAGCCGATTGTTGCGTATATAAAATATGAAACAAGACAGCGTATTTTTTCAGTGTTTCTTTATTGATTACACTTTTTATTATACTAAGCAAAGTTATTTACATGGGAGAATTTGGAATCATTTTATTTCGAACTCAAAGTTTATCGATAAAGGCAGTTTAGTTCTATATTAAAAGAACACTTTCAAACGTTTTGCGAAGCGTTTGTGGTTGAATTTTACCTTAAATTGAAGCTTATATTACGTACAGTATGTTGTCCAGTTTCGGGACACAAAGTAGTTTTTTCGCTATATCCCATCGTTAAAGATAGCTAGATGGATGAAACTTTCACAATTTGTAGCCATATCCATTTGGAAACATGTATTAAAAGCAACAAACCCAGATCTTTTTTATTTTATGCGCATTTGATCAAAGTCGTGAGCAACATTAGTGTCCAGTTTCAGAACAGCTTGTCTAGTTTCGGGACAGCAATTCATGTGCAGTAAATGATCGTGATTTGACACACATGTAAGCTAAAATTAATGTTAAATGTTGAACTTTAATCACATTTTAATGTAAATATATCTACAAAAGTTTAGTTATGGTTAGTAATGTTATTTTTTCTGCCATTTGGTCGATGGCATATCGAGTTTTAAAAAGCACACCATCCAGACTTTGGCTTTGTATTGCATATACTGTAAATGTTCATTTATCTTTATTCATGTTTTATCTTTAGGTTACTTGGTTTTGGCCGGGTAAACAACGTTGATGACTCGGCCTTTATCTTAATTTACAAATCTTAAAATACAAAAAGCTTGTCCTTTCGTATTAAACATGTTCTTTTTTTTGTGTTCTTTCGCGCCAAAAGGCACGACAACGTACGAACGTTTCCGATCTGTACACGCGCGCGTGTCCACGCAACGCGAGCACTTACATGGCTCCCCTAAATTCGAAATTCGAATTTACTAAATATAAACAACAATAACATGAACTTAACGTTTATCAGCAATGTCTGTATCATTTGTCATCAGGCTCTTCGGCGGGGATTCCCGGTCTTTCTCCTTGGATCAACAATATCAACTTGTGGACTGGACGTTCCAGGCTAACGAGAGGCTTCTCTCTTCTTCCTTGCTTCGTGAGTCTCCGCTCGCCGACCATCAACTTTACTTTTCGAACTAGGCCATCTTCGTCTTTCTCAACATTCACTACGCGAGCTAATGGCCAACAGTTTCGGGATGATTCTTCTTCAGCGACGATAACAATATCTCCGACTTCGAGATTCTGTTTCGGTTTGAGCCATCTTTGGCGTTCTTGCAGGGAATGCAGAAATTCTTTTCTCCAACGCGACCAAAACTCATTGCATAGATGTTGAACTCTTCGCCAATGCTTACGTAGATACATTTCTTCTTTCTGAAACACTCCTGGTGGGGGAAGAAGAACCTTACTCTTCATCGTAAGCAGATGATTGGGTGTTAACGGCTCTAAACTGTCCGGTAAACCGAGATTGTCAACACTAAGCGGACGACTATTGACGATAGATTCCGCTTCGCACATGAAGGTAAGAAGCGATTCATCGTTCAATTGACTGCCATTTTGGTATAGAAGAACATTTAAGACATTCCGAACTGTCCTGATTTGTCTCTCCCAAATTCCTCCCATATGGCTGGCTTTCGGGACGTTGAACTTGAATTGAAACCAATCGCAACTTTCTTTTAGCAATTCCTCTTTGATCTTATCGTGATTCATTTCTTTCAAACACTTCTGCAATTCCGTACTGGCGCCTACAAAGTTCGTTCCACGATCACAACGCAGTTCTCGCACGGGTCCTCGTCTGGAGACAAATCGTCGAAAGGCGTTTAGAAACGAGTCTGTTTCTAGAGTGTGAGAAACTTCTAGATGAATAGCTCTTGAGGCTAAACACGTGAACAATACACCGTATCGTTTTAATTCTTTCCGGCCTTGCTTTACGTAGAATGGTCCAAAATAGTCGACCGCACTGTATGTGAATGGTGGTGAGGTCTCAACCCGTTCTTTCGGAAGATCTGCCATTTTCTGATCTTTGACACTCGCTCGAAATCTTTGACAAACGGCGCAATCTTTGATAAGTTTAGCTACAACATCTTTGCAACCGACGATCCAATATCCTGAAGCACGTATCGTATTCCAAGTTATCCCTCGTCCTTGATGATCAATCTGCTGGTGAAAATGTTTTGCTATCAGCTTCGAAACGTGAGCTCTCTTTGGTAAGACTACCGGATGCTTGATATTAGCGTCCATACTAGATCTTCGAATTCTTCCTCCTACTCGTATAACTCCATGTTCGTCCATAAAGGGATCGAGTTTAGCAATCGGGCTAGTTCTAGCTACCGTATTTCGCCGTCGTTGAGTTTCCGGTACATTGACTTTGGGTTTTGACTTTAACGAGATTATCTCCTGTTTGAATTCTTCTTTCTGCAGTGCCTTGATTATTTCCCGTTCAGCGGCATTCATTTCTTCCACAGTAACAGCTTGGTCAGGTTTCATAACAGTTGCTGCTTTCTCAATGTTCTCGACATCCTTTTCCTCCCTTTTCGTACCCTTTGACGTAACAATCTGCGATAACGAAGACAAATAGCGATGGCCTTCTTGGCTCGGTGCCAACTCGAAAAGTATTCTAATCTCTCTACCACGTCCGCGAATTTTTTCACAGATGTTGCAAAGGTTGTGACTTTCTTTACTTCGACATCATCTGTTTCCAGCTTTGCTTTGTCATCCGGTTGGTTAAAATGATTCCAATCTTGGTGAGCTTCGTATAGAAATGACGGACCGTTTATCCACCTCGAATCGCTCACAATATCACAGGCCTTTAAACCTCGGGATGCCTCATCAGCTGGATTTAACTTTGACTCAACGTAATTCCACTGATCCTTTGACGAATGATCTCTGATTTGTTGGACGCGATTAGCCACGAATACATGGAAGCGACGCGCATCATTGTTAATATATCCTAAAACGACTTTGCTATCTGTCCAATATATCTCTTCGATGCTCTTATAATCGAGTTCTTCTTGAAGCATGGCGCTGACTTTGACAGAAACAACCGCGGCTGTTAGCTCTAACCTTGGAATCGAAACTTGTTTCAGTGGCGCCACACGAGATTTGCCCACAACTAACGAACAGTGGATTCTATCGCTATCATCAACCAATCTTATATACGAACATTGACCGTACCCTTCACAGCTTGCGTCAGAGAAATGATGAAGTTCAGTTTTCTTCACATCTCCAAAGCTCTCAGGTTTGTAACATCTTTC